GATTGCAGTCGAGACGGCCCGAGTGGAGTTTCATGTAAATGTTTCGTACGGAAAAAAAAATCGCCAACCGGGGCGGGCGCCAGGTTACAGTGGTATGGTCCTTGCCCGAAATAGAGACACTATGAAGACACTAATGACGTTCCATAGCGAAACATTCTGTTGACTTGTGCAAAAACCAGCAAACGTGGTTAACTGCAATTTCTGTGTATGTGTGTGAACACGAATGTTTGGTGGTCTACAGTTTAATAAAGTGTTGTTTGTTAAAACCAACAATTTCAGTTAAGGCATATCGAAGCAACAAGTACAACATTTTAGTGGGTAAGTTATATCAGGCTATAATTAAATACGTCTTTACCTTCTTCAATAAACCTAGGTGAGCCTGGGCCTAAGGGCTGTACTACTGTACTACTCTAAGCCTAGTCTAGCTATAACGAGAGAGGAGGAGGCCTAGCTAGCTAGACCCTAGCGCTGCACTTAGGCTAGGCATAGTAGTACTGCTACTCGCCCTATGCTACCCTACTAGGCTAGGCCCTCAGTCTAAGCCGTGGGCCTCTAGTAGGATAGACCGGCACTGATGCACTTTTTTAGTAGAAAGTGGATATATTTACGTTGCCGTAAACAAATCAATAAACGATATATTTACGTAGGGCCTAAATGAAACAACGCATGCGCAGTCATACCTTAATAAACCTGGAATTACTGTTGATTACAGCACACTGATTTTTCTTTAGTTTCATACTATTATTTTTAGTCTTACATTTTGAGCTTCCTCCCTTATTATGTTTACTAGCATGGATTCATCATGGAAAAAGTCTGTTTGCCAAGCTGCTGCACAACACCAGAAGCATAAGGATAAAACATATACGTATGGAACGGCAGGTTTTCGAACCAAGTATGTCTGTTTTACGAATAACTTTGTATTTATTCCCTTTTAAAACCAGACTTCGGAGGATAAAAATTCTTGATATTTTGTACAACTGAGTCTTCTCAGACACTGAAGGGGTGTGTGACGAAATATAAGATATTTGAAAACTGGTGGCAAATAAAAGGTTACTTTACTGTCTACTCCAGTTTTTAACTTTTTATTATTAAAAAATCTGTATCTTATTAAGCATTTCCGAGTATAACCCTTCTATTTAGTGTCAAGAAAAATTTCAAGGTCAATTTTTCCTCCAGATTTTGCATTTAAAGGTGCTATATTATGCAGCTTTTGTATTTTCTTATTTTGATATGGATATTTGTGTATGTATGTTATGTATGTTTGTGTAATTTAATATGAAATAAAAGTGATTAAGTTATTAATTATATTAATATAATTAAAGACCATTTTGGGACTGATTCTTTCTTGGTCTTGGTCAACTTTTACTTATAAAGATAAAATATAGGTGTTTGACAGAGCCAAAGAAAGGTGGTGTTTAAATTTAACATGATTTTGATTCTTTTTATTAGATTTAGTTTATGAAAGCAGATTTTAATATATTACAATATTTACAAAACAATTTTATTAATTATGGTAAGATACTACAATCTCATGTTGATTTCATGCCATGATTGCCTCTTTCAGTTTCTTCTCTATGGTTTTTTTTTAAATATTTTAGAGCTGATCTGCTCGATTCAGTAATGTTTCGTTGTGGTGTACTAGCTGTTCTCCGGTCAAAGAAAACTAAATGTAAATATTTTGTTATTTTGATTAAACCTAAAAACGTTTTAAATGTTTGTGTTTTTTTTTTTAAATTTGCCTTTAAGTTTAATTTATTTTTGTACATTTTAAAAATCTGTTGGTCTTGAGTTTTCCTGCTCTACTGTTGATTACCATGGCACACATATGATAAAAACACAGAATCCCCAACATCTGGATTGGGAGCCAACCGTTGGCACCCGTGTGAGAATGCCTGATCGGTTAGCGCTAACCATTACCAGGATCCTGATACGCTAACGGTTAGCGAGTGCTATCGGTTAGCTAGTGCTATCGGTTAGCTAGTTGAGCGCGTTTCTATCATTAACCAATCACATATGTACATTTCCAGTTTCCTGTTGGCCAGTGATTCGATCATCATCTTCTTGGTATCTGGATTGGGGATTTTCTTGTATAAATGCATTGGTGAACATACAGC